ATTGCGCAGGGCGGTGAATATCTTGTGGGACCGGAATAGGGCACCGTAGGCCTAGGCCTGTCTGCATTGTCCCCGGAGAGAGCCACTTCAACCGAACTCCCCTTCTCCCTACCATGTATGCACCCCACTGCTCCCTTGTCTCACTTCGTTTGTGTGTGGTCCTGTAGTCCTTTTTCAGCTGCAGCACCACAACTGGGCCCGACGCATTCACTTGCTCTTATGGGTGTAATAACCAGACAGACAATCCCCCCACGGTAGCATGGTCATGTGATGGAGGAACACGGTCATGGCCAACGCCGGCCCGTGCAGTCGATACGATGGATGGGCTAGGATGCATACCAGTGGCACAGTGGCACAAGAGATTGGGGGGTGATGAGTTAGAATTTCTTTGGGGGCGGTGCCGCGCCGCCACCCGCCCGCTCTACATCAACCTTCCCGCATGAGCCAAAACGAATTCCTTACCAGGCAGCTACACAAATATTACACCCCTGCAACAAAGCTGGCTGCAGCTCCCATCAACTCCCTCTGCCTACGTCCGCCGCGCCAGCTGCCTCAGGATCTCCACCGTCGCCTGCCAGAAAGGCGGCACCGTGGGGATGAGAACCCTCTCATCAGGGGAGTGCGCGCCCCTGCAACGCATTGGGAAGGCATCAACATGTTGGGGCCCAATATCCCTTCCAGCAATGCAAGCAGCGCAGGCTTGGCATGCAAGACATGCCACCGCGCTGCCACGAGTGGGCCCCCTCCGTTGGCAGCTGCTGCCTTTCGGCCTTTCTCATTCACGCACGTGATGGTGGGACCGTAGCTGACGCACTCCAGGCCCGGCAGCTTCTCGCCAATGATCCCGCACTCCAGGCCCGCATGGATGGCCTTCACCTCGGGTGCCTTGCCTGCAAGAAGCATCAAGGCAGCACCAATGTAGCAGGGCACCGCCAGGCCTAGGATGGAGCGTCCAGGGCATATGCCCATGCATGGGCAGGACAGCCGCAGTTACGGTTGCTCGCTTGGCGCTTGTCGGCAACACCTGCACCCTTGCATATTGTACAATTCGCGGCCCCTTGCTGCAGCCTGCCACCCGTTGGCCGCAAACAGGCAGAGTAGCGTCACCTGTGACACGGCCGATGGCTTCTGCAGTCATCTTCACGATGGCAGAGCTGGGGTTGGGCGCCCAGCCGGGATACGCCACGTCCTGGCAGCGGAAGAGGCGGCAGGCAGGCAACCGGGGAGGCGTCAATCACAAAACAGCACTGCGCTTCCGGGAGCGACAACAGCAGCGACGGCTGGGAGGCATGCGGCGCGGCAAGAGCGATACAAGGAGCAGCGTGTATGTGCCTGCCCTGTCACTCTGGAGCCTCGAGCCCCACCTGCTCCACCTCTGCGCCGCACAGACGGCCAATGCGGGTGATGGATGAACGCACCTGCAACCAAGGCACGGCAGGCGGGCCGGCACACCGGTGTTTTTGCCCAGCTGCCAGACGGCAACCACCACAACCGCATATGCCGCCCGCTGCTGCGCGAGCAGGCACCGAGCTCGCAACCGTCTGCTGCCGCTCTGCGCAGCCAAGAACCCAGCCACCGCCCCTACCGACGCGCCTGCTCCAGCGCCGGCATCAGGCTGCTGCGTGTGGAGCACTGCACGGCAAAGGCGGCCTTGCCGCTAGCCACCTCCTGCGGCTCGATGGAGGCCAGGTTGGAGGAGGTCTCCACCAGACCTGCAGGGGGAGGGCGGGGAACACATGACAATAAATGCAGCCCACGGGTCAGCCAGAGTGTACAGATGTGGATCCGGTGGCACCGTGTAGAACGAGGCAGCCCTCGCTGTTGAAACGTGGCAGCACACCAGCAACAGGTGAGGAGATGGTGTGGCAGAGCGCAGCACAGCAGCGGTGGAACGGGTCTCCCGGCTGCGAGGGGGAAGCTGAGAAGCCACCAGGCGGGCGAGCGCGCACGCACCCGGCACCGCATGGCTGTTCTTGATCACGCCGTGCGGAAGCGTGAGCAGCAGGTCCAGCAGCTGCTGGCCGCCTGCGGCGGTGAGGCAGGTGGCGGGGATGGTGGCGGCGGGGGTCGCAGTGATGGACAGGCCCGGCTCCTTCTTTCCAAACTCCTGCTCGAATGCGGCGAAGCGGTGGCCAATGGCGCCCTTCAGCATGTGCAGCTGGTCGGCCGGCACCTGAAGGCAGGCATGGCGACAAGCAGGTTTCAGGCAGTGAGGACAGCATGGAGGTTGAGCAGGGACAGGGCGGCAGAAAAGGAGAGTGTGTGGCATCGCAGGAGCCGGCTATGGCAGGCAGGCAGTATCAAAGATCCCAGCAGCGGCAAGCTCCATTGAACACATGCAGCAGAATCTCCACCGCCCAAGCCATCAAGCCCATGCCACCTACCACGAGCAGCGCAGAGCACTCGCGCGGGATAGCGTTGCGCTTGTCCCCACCCTGCATGGTCACCAGGCGCGCTGCTGGCACGTGCGCTAGGCTGGCCTCTGCCACCGCCGCCGCCATGGCTACGGCATTGCCTGCATCATGCAGCAGGGTGGCGCTCAGGCTTGCAGCAGGCAGGGCGGGGATACAGCCGGGCCCCCCCACCCGTCATTGCACACACCACATTGCACACGTATGCAGACATGCATGCGCCACCCCATGCCGCCTCACCCCTGTCCTCGTTGATGTTGATGCCGCTGTGCCCGCCCAGCAGGCCCTTCACCTCCACCTCCACGCCTGCAGCGCGGTGAAGGGGCAGCCACGCCAGGCAGCCCACCGTTCTGCAGGTGCTGCATGCAACCCAGTATGCCAGCCCACCGTTCTGCAGCACCCAGCCAGCTGGTCCCAGCCTCGCAGCTGCCACCTGACACCCTTCCCAAGAACACGCGTGAGGCTCACCCACAAACCCGGCAGGCACCGGCTCCAGCTCGGGCTTGAGGAGCAGGATGGAGTCTCCACTGCCTGCATGGGGCGGGGCCCAGAGGTGGAGGCGCGAGCGTGGGGTGATGGGCCGAGTACGCTGCAGCCCGGCGAGGAAATTCAGCCACCAGCTGCAGGCGCCACCCGCCGCCACCAAGCATCAAATCCCCCGCCGCCCACCCACCCGCGCAGCCAATGAACACGTCCCCCCAGTCCTCGGTGTCCAGGTTGAGCAGCGTGCGGCCGTGCAGCATGGTGCCGTCCAGCTGGAAGGCGCCTGCGGGCGGCGACGGGCGGTGCAGGGGTGTGGGTGCATGCAGGCAGGTGCGTGGCACTGTGCTGACGGCACAGAAGAGAAGTGTGTCACTAGCTGGCACAGGTGAAGGCAGTGCGATGCAGAGAACAGGGAAAGGCGCTGCCAACGAGCTTCCAAACAGCCACCAGCCCAGCCCGCGCAGCCAGGCCCTCATCATTGCTCACCCGTCAGCCCCGTCTCCTCGTCGATTGTGAACAGGCACTCCAGCGGTGGCAGCAGCTCGCTCTGCGGCAGGTCAAGCAGGGCCAGGGCGGCACACACGCCGATGCCTGCAGGGAAGTGCCGCAGGGCGGGGAAGGGGACTGGTGGGGGCGGGGAGCGGGAAGCGCGGTGCGCAGATGCTGCTGCAACAAGCCATGGCCCGACCGGGTCGCATTACTTGGGTAGATGCAGATGTTCAGCAGAGCATCAGGGTGTGTGGAGATGATGGAAAATAGACAGGCAGGCGGGCTTCCGGCAACTGCCACCCGCCAACCCGGGCCCACCATTGTCGCTGCCCAGCGTGGTTCCATCGGCAGTGATCCAGTCGCCATCCCGCACCTGCAGCCGCGGCAGCGGAGGCGTGTCAATGCCAGGCAACCCAGCAGCCGTGGCAGCAGGCAACCCCAACGCGCCTGCCTGCCCCCACCAGCCCGCCACCACCCCGACCGCGACCACAACCCACCAGCCTAATAGGGTCACTCATGAAGTCGTGGCTGACGTCGGCGTTCTTCTCGCACACCATGTCCACATGGCCTGCAGGGCGGCAAGGTGGGGGATGGGGGCAGAGCAAGGAGAGTGTGGGAAGGGCAACGGGCGCAGCAGCCGGCCACGGCAGGCAATCAAGTGTATCAGGAACAGACAAAGGCTTGAAAAGCAGGTGGGCCTGGTACCAGCAGGTGGCAGCAACAGGAATTCTGCTGCTGGGCGGGCTGCAACCCCACAGCGCAAAGGGTCAGAGCAAGGCTGCAGCCAGGCGGGCGCACCCTGGATGATGACTGGCGGCGCTTTCTCGCCGCCGCCGCTGCCGGGGCGGTAGATCACGATGTTGCCCACCTTGTCCTGCGGCCAGGCAAGACAGCTGGGTGGGGTATGAGGTGGACTCCACCAGGCACAATATCCTGGAGTAGAGGCGAAGCGATGGAGCCAGCAAGGCAGCTGCGAGGGACACGGCTGTTCCGAAGAGCGGTCATCCAGGGGGAGGCAAAAGGTAAAGGTAAAGGCAGCGAGAAGCGGTGCCACAAGCAGGGCGTCGGCCGCCCACCTGCTTCCAGTCCAGCCCACGGTCTGTGGCGAACCTCTTCAGCCATTCCAGCACCCTGCAGGTAAATGGTTGGGGTTATCTTTCTTCAGCCGCTGCAGGCACATTGCAGGGCAGCACCGAAAGCCTCGCTGGCGCCGCAAACCGCCGCCAACACTGTGCTGCCCGCTGAACGAATGCGGTCCCACCCTCTTCTCACCTCTCCTCGTGCTTGGAGGGGCGCGGGATCTTGGACAGCTCCCCAAAGTGGCGCCACAGCCCCTCGGGCTGCAGGCCCTGTAGCGCGGCGGGAAGGCCGCCATTGGCGGCGACGGCCGACGGCATGTCGCGGTGCAGGCAGGCGAAGGCGGAGCGGGTCGGAGGGGGTGTGCGACGATAGGGGAGGCTTGCAGGCGGTGCGAAAGGGCGGGCCTGTGTGCGATGCGCGATCACACGGGATAGGGAAAAGAAGGTGGCGGTGCGGCTCAGCATGCAGTAGCGATCGCGGGCAGTGGTGCAAGGGGTCCCGAGCGGGCTGGTTGTCCTTTCCCTGAGGACAGCAAGTGCCAGCCTGTCACCGAGAATATGGGGTTTCCCGCCAGTCTGCGGCGTTATTGGCCATTGCCGCAAACTCGTGGCATCTACCCCCACATTCTCTGGCCAGGCCACGGCCGTTCAAGCACCTCTGGCGGTGCATGTCCGGCAGTCTGCTCAGACTACCCCTTACACCGCCTCTCCGCTCCCTAGGACTCGCCTCAATCACACCCCGACACCGCTGGCTGGCGCGCCCCATTGCCCTAGTGGCTGCACACTCCCGCAGCGCGGGAGCCGGTGGCGGCTGCGGCGCCGCCATGGTCGTCAATACCTCCATCATTTGGTTCCGGAAGGTGCTGGCATCGCGTTTCGCACCGCTGTGCCTGGAACCTCGACGTCTGCAGCACAGTTGTATCAGCCTCCAAACTGTCCCCACGGGTACTGCAGGGTCTGCGCCTGCACGACAACCCGGCGCTGCTGGCGGCGGCGGCCGGCGCCGACCACCTCTGCCCCATCTTTATCCTCGATCCCTGGTTCCTAAAATCAGACAAGTGAGAAGATGGGAGTGCACGTTTCTGTGGCCGGGGAACCGCGCGCTTACACTCCACCCATGTGCTTGCTGCTCTCGAGGCTTCTTTAGTGGCAGCGTGGACGGCTGCTGCCACGGCTGGCCTCAAGCAGATGGCTGGCCGCGAGTGCAGGATTGGCGTGAATCGGATTCAGTTCCTGCTGGAAAGCTTAACAGACCTGGATGCCAGGTGGGCGGGGTGATGGCGAGGGCGTGCCTGCCGCCTGCCATGCTGGCTCTGCAGGAGACGAGCGGGCAGGCCAGCATGCAGCAGTTGGGGACAGTGGCGCCCTGCCTGACGGGATGCGCCGCTACGCCACCCCTCCATCGCCGGCTGGTGCAGCTTCCGTGCGCGTGGCTCTCGCCTGTTGGTACTGCGCGGCCGGTCGGAGGAGGTGCTGCCGCGCTTGTTCCAGGCAAGCGGGGCGCCTTTGAGCGCCGGCTTGGGCACCCGGTGGTCCTGCCCTCCTCTGCGCCTTGTACTATTCCTTGCCTACCGCAGGCGCCATCTTGCCAAGCCGCCGCTTCTCTCCCCGGCGCCCTGCAGGAGTGGGGCGTGACCCGGCTGTGCTTTGAGCACGACACAGAGCCCTACGCTAAGCGCAGGTGGGCTGCGCGCTCAGGGCGGCATTGCTTGGGCGCCAGTGTTGCTGTTGGTTGTGCGGTCGGCTGTGCCACTGCTCGATTACCTTCTGCAAATGCAGTGTGCCTGCCTTGTTGCCAGCAAACTCCTTTCAAGGTGGCTAGAGCCCGCCTGCCGCACCTGCAGGGACGTTGCTGTGCGGCAGCTGGCAGAGGCGGCAGGGGTGGAGGTCGTGGCCCCCGTCAGCCACACACTCTACGTGCGTAGCAGCTGCTCGTCCTGCTGCCGCTGCTGCCATTGTCGCCGCCGCTGCTGCTACTGCTAAGGCGCTGTGGGTACAGCCGTTGCACCTGCCACCGGTGTGGGTAATGCGCTGGCAGGAAGCACCTGCACCTTGCTCAGCACTTCCTCAGCATCCCCACCCAGCCCACCGCCTGCAGGACCCACAGGTGCTGCTGCAGCGCAACGGCGGGCGGGCGCCGCTGACCATGCAGTCCTTCACCAAGCTAGTGGATGGAGGTGGGTGCGCGGCAGGATATGTGCGGTGGAGACCCTGTGGGGGCATGTGTGTGGCAGTGCCTGCAGTCGAAGGCGCCTGCATTATTGCGTGCGTGAGCTGCTGGATGTGAATGTGCTTCCACCGAGCGCCGGTGCCTGCTGCGCGCCGACCACGACTCAGCTGTCCTCCCTGCTCGCTGCCGCTGCCATGCAGTCGGGCCGCCACCGCCGCCAGCAGCAGACGCACCTGAGAAGCTGCCGCCGCTGGCGTCACAGGTGGGCGTCCTCCTCATTGTGGCAGGCTGCCCGCTGATGCAGTCGCCCTGCTCCTCCTGTCCCCTGCCTGTGAGCTGGTGTGCAAATAGCTTGGTAGCTGGCCATGCCACTGTGCCGTGCTGCTGGCAGCGCAGATGTGCAGCTGTCACAGCGCTGCATCGCTGCACCCTCTTGGCCGCAGGCGGCTGCTTTAGTTTCATCCTCTGTCGCGGTGCCCAGCCTGACGGACATTGGGTACCCGCCCACCGGCACCACTCCATTCAAGGGTGGCGAAAGCGCGGCGCTTGCACGCATGGCGGGTGAGAAGGGGTGCGGGCTTCGCTGCTCCTGCCACCGGAAGCAACATCTGTGCACTGCGCCCGCCCACGTTCCAGCCAGCTGTGGAGAGGTATGTGCCTGCCCTCGATCATGAAACCCGTCACACCACCCGCAGACTACCTGTCGGACAAGGGCTGGGTGTGCGCCTTTGAGAAGCCCAAGGGCAACCCCGCCGCCTTTGTGCGCCCCTCCACTACCGTCCTGAGGTTCGGTTGCAGCAGCGCTAGCCCACCCGCGTCCCCTTCTCCGCCAGCTGCAGCACGCCCCTCGCTCTCCTCATTTCCCTGCCAGCCAGGCAGCATCTGCTGCCTTGCCTGCTGCCACAGGGTGTCAAAGCAGCGCTATCGCTTCCTCCATGGCAATCCACCACAACTGTGTGCCTGGCCCGCCGTCCTGCAGCCCGTACCTCAAGTTTGGGTGCCTCAGCCCGCGCTTGTTCCACGCCAAGCTGCAGCAGGTGAGGGAGCTGTAAAGAGCACAGGCAAAACGTTGCCTTGCCGCCCCCTCGGGATGCTAGTTTCTGTCGGCTGGCGGCTGTGGCACCCGTGCTGTGTGCCTGCCACTAGTGCCTGTCAGTACTGACCGCTCCCCCATCCCTGTGCACTGGCTCGCCCTCTTGCAGATATACGCAGAGCGCAACGGCATGCACACGCAGCCGCCAGTGTCGCTCAGGTGAGTGGCCTGCCTGCCCAGCATGCTGCCGGCCCGGGTGCAGCTTGTGCCGTGCTGCATCACAGCAGACGGCTTGCATGAAGTGGGCAGTCAACAAGATCCCCACACCGTACCACCACCACCTATGCTGCCGAGCAGGGGCCAGCTACTGTGGCGGGAGTTCTTCACTCTATGCGGGGCCGCCATCCCGAACTTTGATCGCATGGCAGGCAACCCCATCTGCAAACAGGTGCGGCCACGACTTCCCCTTTGGCTGCGCGGCTTGCTGTGGCTGCTGCCGGGTGCTGCTGCCTTGCTGTCCTGCCTACCTGCCTGCTTGCCTGCCTGCCCTTGCCCCGCCCTGCCCTGCCCTCCAGATCCCGTGGGTGGACGACCCTGAGCGCATTGCGGCCTGGGAGCACAGCCGGACAGGATACCCCTGGTGAGGGACAGCCAGCACCACAACCACAAGCGCCCCTGCAGACCAGCGGAGCTGCGGCCTCAACTGCCTACTATGTGCCTCCACGCGCCTGCTGGCGCTGCAGCCTTGCCTCAATCCCCGCCCCTGCTCGCCTCTGCCCGCTCATCCTGCCACCGCAGGATTGATGCCATCATGGCGCAGCTGCGGCAGCAGGGCTGGATGCACCACCTGGCCCGCCACTCGGTGGCTTGTTTCCTCACGCGAGGCGACCTGTGGTGCAGGTGGGCGTGCCTGCTGCTGGTGCGGGTGGCGCCTTTTCGCTGCCGCTGGCTGGGCCGACCATCTGCGCAAGGTGCAGTGTGTGCCTGCCTTCACGAAGCGCTGCCGCTTCTGCTGCTGCCTGGCCGGCCTGCCCGCTGTGCAGCTGGGAGGCTGGTCAGGCTGTGTTCGACAAGTATCTCATAGACGCAGACTGGTGAGCAGAGCGCAGGAGGCACAGGCACAGCACAGCAGGCACAGCAGGCACAGCGGACGCATCAGGCTGGCAGCCCGGCTGTGTGGCTGCTGCACGGAAGCAGCGGACCTCTTGCGTGATGTGGAGAATGCACTGCGCAGAACCTGCAAGCCCGGCGCCTGCCTGCCACGCAGGAGCCTGAATGCCGCCAACTGGCAGTGGCTCAGCGCCTCGGCTTTCTTCTCCCAGTACTTCCGCGTCTACAGCCCCATCGCGTGAGTCCAGCCGCTATGTACCCGGCATTAAATGTGTGTTTGCGTGCGGGGCTTGCTCAGTACTGCTGCTCAGCACGAGTGTAGCATCCCTCTTGGCGTGCACTGCACTGCTGGCAGCCGCCGCCGGAACTTTCCACTTGTCTGCAGCCTGGCGGGGCTTCGTGCCGCCGTTACAGACGTTGCCCCTGGCAGCCACAGCTGGCTGCCGCCACCTATGCCGGCGGTCCTCATATTGTGCCTCATGATTTTACTGCAGGTTTGGCAAGCAGTATGACAAGAATGGCGACTACATCCGACGCTTCCTGCCCGTGCTCAAGGTGGGTGGGTGGCAGGGTGCAGCTGTGGCCTGGGGGCAGATGGCACCACCAGCAGGGGCCCGCCTGCATGCCTCCCCACCTGCCCCTGCTGGCTCAGCTCCCCATCCGCTCCCTCGCCTGCCAGTGGCAGTGCCCGGCCTCCTCCACTGCTGCCTGCTTCCAACCGGTATCTGCACCCTGTACAGGACATGCCAGTCAGGTACATTTACGAGCCATGGACGGCGCCTCTGTCGGTGCAGCAGGCCGCCGGCTGCGTCGTCGGCAAGGACTACCCACGGTGGGCGGCTGGCAGCTGGACACGTCCCCACACCCTGCCCCGCTGTGTCTGCACCTGCGGGCCCTCCTGCTTCCGCCGCAGCTGCCTACTCAAAGCACCAGGATCGGTGCTGCTGCCCAAGCCGCTGCTGATTTTTGTTGTTGCTGCTGCTGCTGCTGCCCCTGCGCTTGCCACCGCTGCAGGCCCATTGTGGATCACCAGGCGGCTATGAAAGAGAACATGGCCCGCATGAAAGCGGCCTACGGCGCATCCAAGGCGGCGGCAGCGGTAGCAGCTGGGGGCGGCGGCGAGCAGGGCGAGCAGGCAAGCGCAGGAGCAGCTGGCAGCAGCGGCGGAGCAGCAGCAGCAGCAAAGCGGGCGAGGAAAAAGTAGGCAGGGTCCCTCCTGCTATTTGCTGTTTTTGTATTTTACACAGCGCTGAATCAGTGGCTGCAACCAGTGGTTTGAAAGCATTACTCTGGTTGTAAGAGCAAAACGGGGGGTGCCCAAGGAGGTGTGGCTGGCGGGCGGCAAGCAAACAAAATGGGAAACGGAACGCAGGGGAGAACAGGAGGGGCAGCACGCAGGCTGCTGGACAGCCAGTATCAAGGGGGACCGTGCATGTGGCAATGCAAGTCACTCGGTGTAAGCAGCACCTGCGCTAGGATGGCGCGCCGGCGGCACATGTTGGCGGCGCCAGGAGCTCGCCACGGCGCTGCTGCACGGGCGCCAGCAGCACGGTTGGGTGCTGGAATAATATAGAGGTGCTAGAACATTCCATACAGTTTGGCCGCATCCGAGGGCTCAAACTGGCGCCCCTTCTGCTTGGAAACAGCCGCCGCCAGGTCAGCCTTCCACTTCTTCAGGCTGCGGGTGGGGCGGGCGGCAATGAGAGGAGCGCTTCTGCTGGCGTCCGAGTGCCTCCCAATGCCCCTCGACACATTTGCCCCCTGACCCAGGTCTGATCATGCGGCCAATCATAGCGGGGTGACTGTGTGTAAACAGCAGTAACACAACACCTTCTGCTGGCGTCCGAGAGCAGCAAGGGATCAGGTGGTGCAGGTGCCAAGGCAGCGCGGCGGCTCAGCTCACTTTGCGTTGGATCGCCACGTCAGGTACAGCGCCAGGAAACCGACGGCTATGAGCACATAGAAGACAGCAAGCTGCAGCAGGGTGCAAGTGCCAGGTGAGGCGCGAGTGAGAGGGCGTGGCAGCCGCCAAGGCTGCCGCCACCCCGCCATGGCAGAGCCTGCCGCCCGCTCCATCGCGCACCTCCAGCAGCACCCGTCGTGTGGCTGCCCTGCTGTACTCGTCCCCCGAGAAGAACGACTCGAACCACTGCAAAATGAAGCTGGTTCCCGTCAATTGCTGCTTGTCCTCGGGAAGCACCATCAGACCATGTCTATGGCTGGTCTGTGGGGTGCCTGGGGCAGCCGATCGCCCCGTGGCACAGTGCGAAGGGGCGCGCGAAGGCCCAGCAGCGTTTCTGGGGCAGCTGGATGTGTGTGGAGACGTTGTCACTGGATTTTGGGGTGGTAGGCAAGTGCATGGAGCGGCAGGCGGAGGTGCTTTCGGCGGCGGCCACCAGGGCGGCGGCGACAGCCTGGCGACCGGCACCATGTGGCGGCGAAAGAAGACCGCCAGGAGAATGCAGGGATGGCCGTGCAGATGGTTTTTGTTGGCCCGTCGGCGGTGGCCAAGCTCCAACGGCGGCCTCAATAACCCTTGACGGTTTTTCCGTTGCCGGCATGCCAACCCGCCGCATCCGACGACGCTCGCTGGGGGCCGCACACATGCCGCTGCCTCTCCTGTGCTGCATACACGCTCGGCGTGGTGTTTGTGATCAGCCATGCTGGTGGAACCATTGACCTTGCCAGATGCACCCAGCCTCTGAGGGGCATGCACATTGGCGGCGGCGCCCTGCTGGCGGCGCCTGCCATCTGCGGCCTCAGGGAGCCTTGCTGGCCACCCGTCCACGCCATCGTGCATCACCATGCCTAAGGAGTGATTTACACAGGCCGAGCGCTCCGCTTAAAACCTCGAATACCCCCCGGGCCCTCATGTGCCAGCAGGTGACTGCAAAACCTGCTGACGCAGGCCGTCAACAAACTCTTGGAGGGGCGAACAACGGCCTGTCTGTCTTAGATTCCGCTGTCCACGGCCCGGTAGCGCCCTCCCCCACTGGTTCCTCCCCGCATCTCAGCGACAGCTGGTAGATCGGACATGCAGACCCTCTCAACGCGGTGTCCCCACCCCACGCCCGCCTCTGCGCGGTATTGTCGCCGGCCTGTGCGGGTGGTGGCGCAGGCCGCGCCTCGGGACGTCAGCGCCCAGGCCGCAGCGGCCCCTGCTGCCGTCGCGCCCCCGCACGCCGTTGGCACCAACAATGCTGTGGCGGGGCCCCACCTGTCCACCACCGACGTGGGCAACTCCACCAACATCCGGTGGCACGACAGCATGGTGGCCCGCACCGACAAGGAGATGCTGCTGGGCCAGCGCGGCTGCGTGCTGTGGTTCACCGGTGGGTGGCAGCTGCCGCCCCTTCCCTCCGCGACTGTTTGCCCACTGTCGGGGGCCATGCAGCGTGTTGGCCTGCCGCAGCTGCTTCCCTGACCTGCCATGCTGCGAGGATGCCAGCATCCTGGCAGATGCGCGGCAGCCTGACAGCCAGTCAACATTTTAACGTCAGTTGCATGGCCGGCGGTACACCTTCTTGCCCCCACCTGCATCATAATGCACCCAGCCTGCGCCAGCTGCCTGCCGATTGTCTACAGCACTGCCAACTGCCGTCCAGCACCGCCACCTGCTGCAGCAGTCACTTTGGCTTCACCAACCGTCCGCTGCTGCTGCTGCTCTCCCGGTGCAGGCCTGAGCGGCAGCGGCAAGTCCACGGTGGCGTGTACCCTGGAGCACCTGCTCCACGAGCGGGGCCACTTCACCTCGCTGCTGGACGGAGACAACATCCGCCACGGCCTGAACAAGGACCTGGGGTTTAGGTGCGCCGGGCCCTGGGCGCGGTTAATCGCTGCTGCTGATGTTCATGTTGCTTCCTCCTGGTCGGCACAATGCGACTAGCCGCGCCGCTGTGTCCGACACGCCATGCACGCTGCCTCCTGCCCGGTGCCCCGCCGCCTGCAGCGCCGAGGACCGCGCCGAGAACATCCGGCGCATCGGCGAGGTGGCGCGCCTGTTTGCCGACGCGGGTGAGCGCGTTGCACCTGGTGCTGCTGCTCCTTGGCTCGCCGCCCGCTGCTGCCTTCATGACAACGGCACCTGACCAGGCACGTGGGCCTCCACATGATTGGCTCTGATGCCATGCTTCTGGTGCCCTCTCCCCTGCCGCAGGCGCCATTACCATGACTTCTTTCATCTCCCCCTACCGGGCAGACCGCGAGATGGTGCGTGAGCGGTGCAACGCCGGTGAGTTCCTGGAGGTGTTCATGAACATCCCGCTGGAGGTGTGCGAGCAGCGCGACCCCAAGGGCCTGTACAAGAAGGCGCGGGCGGGGCTGATCAAGAACTTCACCGGCATTGATGACCCGTATGAGGCGCCGCTGGAGCCCGAGATCGTGGTGGACTGCTTTGACGCAGGTGGGGCACCGCCCTGGGGCGCCCGCCCTGCTCAAGCAATCCATGCGTGTGCTCATGCTTCGACAGTGCCCTTCATGAGCAGGTTGCTCCCCAGTTCGTATCGGCTGCCGACCGACAGCCGCCCCCACCCCTGCATGTGCCGCAGATGGCCAGCAGCGCAGCCCGCGCGACATGGCGGAGCAGATCCTGGAGGTGCTGGACGGCATGGGCTACCTCAGGTGAGCGGGCATGCTGTTGCTGTGGGTGGGTGCCTGCAAGGCATTCCCTTCATTATTTTCCATGGCTGCTGGCCCTGCTTGGGGCCGCCGGTGCAGGGTGCCAAGTGTGTCAGCTTGGCCCTCACCCCAAGCCTGCCTGCTGCTGCTGCTGTTCCTCTCTGCAGGGATCCGCGCATGCCCACCCTCACCGCGTACGGCGCGCTGCAGCGCAAGCACAGCGACGGCATCCTGGATTTTGCCCAACTCTGAGCGCCTTTGCTGTGCAATGCGGGCCTGGAGCGCCCGGTGCTCTCCCACGCCTCTGCTGTGACCCCCCACGCCCGAGGCACTTGTGACCCCCAAACGCAACTCTGCTCATCCAACCGAGCCAACAAACTGGGATGTCCCGACCCCTTGACATACCGTGCTGTGCACTCCGCGCACCTGGGGCGCCTGCCTGGCGGCGCATATGCGCAGAGACAGAACCCCAGCCATGACGTGTATACTACTGTGATTTTGACACACCGCCCTCTTCCTTTCAGTTTCCCCGCCCTTCTGAGCCCATTAAGTGCTCCAGCGGCACCCAACACACTCACCCCTGCTGCTTCCTGATTGTTCCTCTCACACCCTGTGAATGACTGCATGAATGTGGCCCTGCCATCACTCTTGATTCCATCCCCGATCCCTCCGTGACCTGCGCTTGCGTGCCTGACTTTACCAGAGCGTGCCCGCCTCACCGCGAGAATGAACACAAAACACACACCCTCGCAAAACACAATGATGCTTCATCAACTACTTGCAAATGCACTGATGATGTCAATCGGCCTGATGCTCATCTATTGTGCAAAGGGAGACCAACAGCGCGAGCTCGGCATCTGGCTGGCACCTGGAGGTGCCGCCACCAGCGCACGGGGTGGCGCGCCACACCCAACGCAAGTGGCGCCGTCTCCATCCTGCCCTGCATCAGCATCGAATACATGCACCAGTCCTCTTTGCTGGGCTGGGGGCGTGTGTCCAGGTCACATGGGCTCCAGCAAGAGGCGGCGGCGGTCGGGGCGGGCGTTCTCAAACCGATGCCCGGGAGAGCGCGCAGCTGCGCAGCCCAGTTTTCATGCATCTGCGACTGCTTACAACGGTTTGTGGCTTTGCCTGCAGCTGAAATTCTGGCGGGCATGCGTGTGCCAACTGGACCTCTGCTGGCAGTCCAGCAACCACCTGCTAGCACAGGCAGAGCACAATTGCGTCAGTCGCCTGCTGTCCTCCCCCTTGCGCTGCCATCCCGTTGACGCGCCGACCAAAATGCCCTGCCACGCCCCGTTTGTGGGCACCGCGCAGCCCCAGGCGTGTTGTGACCGTCCCAGGCAGCGGCCCGCCAGGGGTGCAGCAGCGGCCCGCCGGCCGCAGCGGCTCCCAGTAGCGGCGGCAGCACCTGGCGGTGAGAACGGCAATGGCGCCCCGGCAACGACAGCTGCCCTGCACGCCAACGGCAGCGGCCCGCCCCTGGAAACCACCACGGTTGGCAAGTCCACCAACATCCGGTGGCAGGAGAGCATGGTCAGCCGCGACGACAAGGAGCGCCTGCTGGGCCAGCGCGGCTGCGTGCTTTGGTTCACAGGCGGGTGCCCTGTCGCCGCTGCCTGCGTGACCGCATCTGTCTTGCTGCTGCGCTCCCAGTTCATGAGGCCGGTGGCACCAGCAAGCTTGTCAGTTGGTGGGGGAAAGGCCAGCCAGGCAGGAGCAACCGCTGGCTATCTCACCGCCTATGCTGAGCCGCCGCACCATTGTATCCCAGGCCTGAGCGGCAGCGGCAAGTCCACCGTCTCCTGCACCCTGGAGCACATGCTGCACGAGCTGGGGCACTTCACCTCACTGCTGGACGGAGACAACGTCCGCCATGGCCTGAACAAGGACCTGGGGTTTAGGTGGGTGAGCACAGCCTTTGGCTCCATAGCCCCAGGGGCACAGTGCTGACTACTGACGCAGCAGAGCAGTTGTCGCCGCAGACCCAGCACGTCTCGGCCGTACTTGCCTGCCACACGCCCAGCCTGCCCCCTGCTGCTGCCAATGCCGTACCGCCCCTGTACTGCCCTGCAGCGCGGAGGACCGCACCGAGAACATCCGGCGCATCGGCGAGGTGGCCATCCTCTTCAAAGAGACAGGCACTCCTGATGCTGCCCACCTTGAGCCAGCCACCTGCCGCCGCCAACTGCTGCTGTCTGGCAGCCACTATTTGCCGCCCAGCACCTGCTGCCGTACAGCCAGCCGGCCGGCCGGCGGCAGTGCCACGCCGACCTGCTGACGCTGCGCTGTGGGAGCCCTTGTGCGGCCTCGGCCCCCCGCCTGCACGGCAGCCTCCCGCGTTACCTGCCCGTGGTTTGCACCTGCAGCTTCCCTCCCTCACCTGCTGGTCACGTCACGTGTCCATCTGCCCTGCAGGCGCGGTCACCATGACCTCCTTCATCTCCCCCTACCGGGCCGACCGCGACATGGTGCGCCAGCGGTGCAGGCCGGGTGAGCGCCGGCCGCCCTTCTTGACGGCCGAAGCAGCTGCTGCCCTGCTGCTCCTGCTCTGGCTCGCATGCTGCTGCAGACCCCTCCACTGCGTACCCGAACTCCCTCATGCCCCCCCGCGCTTAACCACACATGCCCCTACGCTAAAGTTAAAACAACTTTGCCCAGCAACCACCTCTCCCACCCTCACCCGCAGGCGAGTTCCTGGAGGTGTTCATGAACATCCCGCTGGAGGTGTGCGAGCAGCGCGACCCCAAGGGCCTGTACAAGAAGGCGCGGGCGGGGCTGATCAAGAACTTCACCGGCATTGATGACCCGTATGAGGCACCGCTGGAGCCCGAGATCGTGGTGGACTGCTTTGACGCAGGTGGGGCACCGCCCTGGGGCGCCCGCCCTGCTCAAGCAATGCATGCGGTGGCATCGCCATGTGTGGCGACTGGCAACCGACAGCCCTGCCACCCTCCATGTGCTGCAGACGGCCAGCAGCGCACCCCCCGCGACATGGCGGAACAGATCCTGAAGACGCTGCAGGAGCAGGGCTACCTCAGGTGTGTGGGTTGCAGGCTGATGGTGGCGGCGGCGAGGATGAAGGCAGGGCCGGTGGAGGAGCACATAGATGGGCACAGATGCGCCAGCAGTGCCTGGCAAGGGTCCTTGTGCTGAGCTCATGCATGCTCCGCCTGTCGCTGCCTGCTCCATGCAGGGACCCCACCATGCCCACCCTGGCAGTGGCCAACGCGCTGCTGCGCAAGCACAGCGACGGCATCCTGGACTTTGCCCAGCTGTGAGCCGTTGCTTTCTGTCAGCCGGCCTGCCCCGCCATCTGGATTGCGATTTCTGACGTGGCGCTCGGGCTGCAGCCATGCGGCCCCGACACCCATTTGTGACCCCTACCCTGACCAGCACATGCACTGTATGCCAGCCTGCCCTGGAGAGGAAATGAACCTGTTTTTTTTTTTGGATTACGTGATTCTGCCGTTCGTGACGGCGGCACGACAGCTTCCTGTCTTGCGGCGCCGGGCATTGCGGCCGCCGCTTGGTGTACCCAACTAAAGCCACACAGCCTTCCCTTGACCGTGCTGTATACCCACACCTCCTCTTCCGCGCATTGCCCCAGGCGCAACGCGCGGCATGGCTGCTATCAGATCCCCCGTCACCCAATGCAGAGTGTACACCTCTGTTGCTTGGCTGATAGCACACTTAGCGGCAGGAGCCAGCCAGTCCGCTGTGGCCATGTAAATAGACGTGTAACTGGCTGGGGGCTTACAAGAGCAAGTGCTGCTGCCCAGGGAGCAATGAAGCGGCTGCCCCAAGAGGGGCCGCGGCTCGTCTAGGTGCACAATCGTCCACGTCCACCTGCTGTCACCTCTTCTTGCCAGCGCGCTTGCCGGCGCCCTTCTTGGGGGGAGCCTTGCCGCGGCGCCGCAGGCGATCCAGCTTCAGCTTGGCGCTGCAAGCGGGCAGGGGGACGAGGGAGCGTGGGAAGCAACCCCGGGGGCACGCTGCGGCCTGCTGCCGGCGCAGGGGTCTGGCGTGCAGCGACATGCTGGCAAGGCGGCATCTTGCGCTGCCGCGGTGCGCCGCAGGTGGCTGCCTGCCTGGCTGCCAGGGCCTGCACGCCGCCGGGCTGGCCCATGCATGCAGCCGCCTCGCGCCGACCCCAGCCTCACTTTTCGGCCTTGAGGTTGAGCATGAGCGGGTCGGCCTTGATGGGGTCGGGAGGGTAGTAGTCAACCAGCTTCTGGCCCAGCAGCGGCCGCCGCAGCACCTTGCGCCCCGACCGCAGCCCGTTGCCTGCGCGGCCGGCGATAGGAGCTGTCAGGAAAGGCAGCACAGGCCAAGCGACGGGAAGGGATGCAGCCGGCACCCTGAGCGCCAGGCATGCGGCGAGGCAGGCACGGATACAGCTGGCACCTCCAGCCCCGCACCTATGTGTGTGCCAAAGATGCGGGCCCGAATCTGCTCCAGGCTCTCCTCCTCCTCGTGCTGCTCTTCCGCCGCTGGCTGCGCCGCCGCCTGCTGTGCCGCCACGCCGCCGCTGTTGAAGCGCCTGCACCCGCTGCCCAGGGCTGGAGCTGCTGCTGTGGCACCCAGACCAGCTGGCTGTGCGGTGGGCGTCCAGAGGGAGCGCAGGGAGACTAGGGTTGGGAGTGCATGATGCTGGGCCGAACTCTGCGCGACGGGGCCGCCTTCCGCCAGCGCCATTCGACTGATACCATTCAAAAGTACGCTCAGGCGGCTGGCTCCGCGACGCAGGGCCATGTCGGGCCAGATAAATGTGGCAGGGGCGGGGCGGGGAGGTTTCAGACAGTCCGGCGGAGGCAAATCGAGACGAGGCGCCCCGAGGATTGAAATGATATCCCCAGATCCGCTGGAAACGGGCACAGGGCGGCCAGCGAGGCGAAAGAAAGCGGGCAAACACAAGCGCATGGAAACGCGCTCATTTCCATGCTGCACCACTGTCTTAACGTTTCCAAGGCCTTGGGGGATCTCTGCCTGCCTCGACACCTTCTCCCGCTGTGGGAGTCTCAGCACCGCCTATCTTCACCCCTGCGGCGCTTCCCAGGGCGCTATAACCACTGCAGGCGCCTGTGGGAGACATCAGCACCCCACTGACAGGCCCTGTCTGGGAAGCAGCGGCTCAGTGCAGCACTTCACCCACTCTCGCAGCCCATGGTCGTCAACAGCAGCGTGACAATGCGGCTTGCAGCGCAGTCAGCGCGGGCCCGCCTCCATGCACGTCCTGCGCGCCCAGCGGCGGTGGCGGTGGCGGCGCAGCTGGGCCGGCCACAGCAGCTGGGCCGCTCGTCACTAGCCGTCGATCCCATCCCTGGCAGCCAGCGGCGGCGCGTGGGCCGCCGTGGCGCGGTCAAAGTCAGCGCCATGGTCAACGTGGACATCAGCCCCAGCGTGGTGCTCGGGGTGGGCCTCATCGGCGCCGGCGTCTCGCTCTGGCAGATCCGCAGGTGCGCCGCCGACCCGTGCCTCCTCCCCGCCGCCCCTGCCTGTGCAGCCTCTGCACAGCAGCCTGCAACCTGGCCCCTGGCCTAGCTGACCCGCCTGTGCACACCGCCCATCTGCTGGCAGCCCCCTCGCTCAGCCTCCCACCTCTCTCCTGCCCCACACCTTCCCCCAACCGCCCCGCCCCGCATCCACGCAGGGTCAAGCCCTGGATCTCCAAGGACTACGATGTGGTGGTGTCCTGCATCTCGCTGCTGGTGGGAGGCATCCTCATCTTCCAGGTGGGGCGACAGCAGAACGAAGGGCGAAGGCGGCGCCAGCGCAGCACGGGGCGGTGGGGGTGGTATGTCTTGGGGGCTGGGCTGCGGCGTTGTTGGCGCACTGGACAGCAGGGCGCACAGCCGCGGGGCGTGGCCGCGTGGTGGGTTCTCGCTGCAGTCTCCGGGGGGGAAGCCATCTGCAGTCCCTGGGCGGGCAGCCAGCCGGAGCATGCGGGCGCCGCTGCGCGCCTGCTGCCTGACCGTGGTGGCCGCCGCCTGCTCGCCGCTCGCCGCACGCAGGGCTGGCGCCTGGACCCGCTGCTGCTGTTTGGCCAGCTGATGACCACGGGGGCGGCGGTCAGCTTTGCGATAGAGGCGCTGCGGCTGCGGTCTGAGCAGTATGAAAGCGAGGTGGGTGGGTGGTACAGTTGGCTGCAAGGCAGGGTCTGTGCACCACAGGCATGCGGCGGAAGGCGGGTTGCCTGCGTTGGCCGCCGCTTGCACACGCCAGCAGTGCTTGCCCGTGCGCCGCCACACATTGCAACAGCCTGCCGCGCTCCCGTGGGTCCTGCTCGCAGGAGAAGGCGGCACTGCAGGATGTGTTCAAGCGCAGGGGCCCCGGCGGCGGCGGCGAGGGCGGCGCCTTCCAGCTGCCGCCGCCCGACCCGCAGGCGGCGGCGCCCTGGGGCGAGCAGGGCGGCGAGCAGGGCTGGGCCGCGCAGCGGCAGTGGGAGCAGGAGCAGCAGCAACAGGAGGGCGCCGGGTGAGTGGCTGCGCGGGCAGGCGCCCTGGGCCGCGCCGCGTGCTTCGAGTTGCGGCCATGCCGTGGCGTCCGCCGCAGCAACAAGCGGCCTCATCATTGCCTCACTGTCTGCCGCCACCGCTGCACCCCCGCAGGTTTTTCGACTACCAGCAGCCCGGCAGCGCAGAGGGCTACGACCCGCAGCAGCAGCAGCAGCAGTACGGCAGCAGCGCGGATGCCCAGTGGTACTACGGCGACAACGGGCAGTACCAGGTGGCCGACTACCCGGTGCCTGGCTCTGCCGGCAGCGATGCAGGCAGAGGAGCCTTCGCCTCCAGCCGCGGCCGCAGCGACGGCGGCGGCCCCGCCGAGTTTGTGTTCCCCACTAGTTATGGCGACGATGCGTCAGGCGCTCCTGGCGATGGCAGCTGGGGAGCCCCCGGCGAGGGCCAGCAGCCGCAGTGGGGGCCGCCAGGGCAGCAGCAGCAGCAGCAGCCTCCGCCGGCTGCACCTGGGCGTGGTGGCAGCGGGTACGAAATGGACGATTGGTAGGGCCGCCGCCACCTCGGCACCCACCCACCACTGTGTGCTTCTGCTGGCCATGCGATCCCGCTGCTTCTCATTCCTGCGGTGCTCGTCCGCTCGTTGCCCCTCTGGCCCACCCTTTGGTTGGATAGCTTCTCACGCGTTTGTAACTTTGTATTGCCTCCATTTGGGAATGCAAACTTGTGACAGGGACTGCAGTTGGCGGCGGGGCGACATGCTGCGCCTGCTGCTCAGTTGCCCATGGGCTGGCCGCGGCATTTCGGCGCCCGAGGCTGGTTTACTCGCATCCTGTGGCTCCCTACAACCACACCGAAGGCTCAGAGTGGGATGAGGCGTGTTGCAGCTTGCGCTGGGTTTTCCCTTCTCGGCTGCGTGAGTCCTGCAGCCTGCATCTAGGTGTGTGTGGTAGGGGTTTCCACGAAACAAAATTGAGGCTCCGCCGCACTGGCCGCCGCGCGTTTTCTGTTTTTTTGCTCACCGGCGGTCTCAGTCGCCTGAATGGCGCGCCTTGGGCTGATAAAGAAGTCCTAAATGGCACCATGCATGCCTGGATCGGGCCCCGCCATCTTGCCGCTGGCATCCCCACCCACTGCCTCCGCTCGCCAGCACCCACCGACGCTAGCAACCCTCCCTTGCTGGCCCCTGCCCGCCCGCAGATGCCCCGTCACCTGGCCATCACAATGCCACACTCAGCTGCTGTCTAGACATCTTGCTTCGTGGTCAGCGCGAGCTTGCGCCTGCCTGAGCACCCAGCCATGGCCGACGAGTTGCAGGCGGGGCTCGAGGCCCAGCTCATCGAGCTGGCAGAAGCCGTTCTCCCCGAGTTTGAGCAGCCATTCCCAGCGGCTGCACCGCTGGACCGTGGGACTGTCCTGATAGACAAAGTGATGAAGTTCACCGACCTGTCGGAGCAGCTCACAGCAACGTCTGCCGAGCTGCGCAGGTAGCCAACAGCGCGCCTCGCGCATCTGGCTGGCAGCCGAGCATTTCAGCGCGCTGCCCTCACCACCACCAGCTGTGCTCTGCTGCTGCTTTGCAGGAGCCTGCGTCGCACGATCCAGCAGCTGCTGGAGCTGGACCGGCGGGTGCGGCGCAGGGCGAGCCGGCGCGAGGAGGGGGCTCCCCCCGTGATCCGCGGCGACCAGATCACAGCCGCCAGCATCCTCTTCACCGGCTGCATCATGCTGGCGCCAGAGGACTGCGCCCCCGGCGTCCAGCTGCTGCTGGGGTCGGGCACCCTGGTGCTGCAGGACCTGGCGGGCATGCTGGAACAGGGGCACGCCTTTACGGAGAATGCGCTGACAAGCCTGGTCTACACGCCGCGCTTCCAGGTGGCGGCGATGCACACCCTGCTGGGCCTCACCCGGCTTGCGGGCGGCGAGGCCCTGGCGAGGGTGGTGGCAGGCTGCGCGCCGCCGGTGCAGCTGGTGGCCTGGATGGACCAGGTGGTGCAGTCGGCCGCTTTGCTGGAGCAGGCAATGGGGAGGCCCACAGGTGGGTAGAGCAGCAGCGTGAGGGGCCATAAGCGGCGCATGGTGCCCACTACCTCACAACCGGATGCGACCCTTTATTGAGCCCGACTTTTGTTTGCCCATCAGCATCTCATTGTGGGCAGGTTTTCAGTAGGCAAGCAGCGGGAGGCCCTTTCTTACGTTGGCATGCACTTTACTGTCACCACCCTCCCCATCCTGCCGCAGGCTACCTGCACGCGCGTGTGGTAGTGCCGCTGGCAGAATGCCTTTGGTTCATGCACAGGAGCGGGCCCGCCTTTGGTGCACACTTTGAAGAGCTGCAGCAGCTGCAGCTGCAGCAGCCGCAGCAGCAGGAGCAGCAGAGTATGCGCCGCAAGCTGCTGCTGCTGTTGCTGCCGGCCCTCGCCTCGACAGCGGTGGCGCTGCAGCTGCCGGAGGAGCGTCGCCCGGCTGGATCCAGCTGGGTGCAGGCTGCCAGCCTGGCGTTTGTGGTGGCCCATCCAGCGCTGAGGATTGCCAGGGACATGCTGGCCGCTGAGGTCCAGCTCGGCTTTGCCACAGGCACCAGCATCGTGCGGCTGCTGCGGGCTGCGGCGCTGCTGATGCAGCACGTACCGCTGGATGAGCTGGCGGCGGAGGATCCGCAGCGCCTGCCACAGCGTGACGACTTCTGGGTTGCGTGTGCCATGGCGCGGCTGCTGGCAGCTGCCGCATACTTGCAGCATTTCGTCACGGACAGCACACCTGGAGACGTGCAGCAGCAGCGGAAGCAGGCGGCGCTGCTGCTGCCGCTGATTCCGCCCCTGAGCCGGCTGCTGGGTGCAACGGCTGCGGCTGTGCAGGCAGGCGCTCTCAGCCGGCGCCAGCTTTCCACCATGTGCAGCTATGTGCGGGGTCCGCTGCGGCTTCTGTGCGATATAGCGCTACCAGAAAGTGATTCCCGCGGCTTGATATTTGCTGGACGGGCACTGGAACCCCCCGACGCCCAGGCAGCCTGGTGTTCCGCCGCGGCAGATTGCCTGCGGCTGCTGCCGCTGGTGGCAGAGGCGGTGCGCCTGCAGCGGCATGGGGCGCAGGTGGCGGCTGATGAGCTGGATGGCGATCCAGCTCTGCTGGCAAAATACCTGTGCCGCCTCGCCCACTACGTGGGGTCCACCTGTGTGGGCACAATGCTGCGCCCTGAGCCGGAGCAGGAGGCCGCCCTGGCAGCCATGGCGGCCGATGGAGGGCAGGAGGCTGGCGGCAGCCTGGCGGCGCTGCACTCTGCAGTGGGGCAGCTGCATGCGGCAGGCTGCCGCATGGCGCACTGGTGTGCGGCGGGCAGGGCCGTGCTGCTGCCAGATATGCTGGGCCCGCTACAGAGATGGCACCTGGCCATTTTCCCAGCCATGACGGCACTGCAGCTGCAGCTGAGGGCCTGCGGCGTGGTGCCGCACCAAGCCGACGTCAGCCTGGGCAATTACGACATCATGGCGCCGCTGCCCGACCCCACCACGCAGCCACCGCGCGTACCACCAAGCAGGTAGGAACGGATGGATGGCGTGCTTGCCTGCGCATGCCTGCAGTGTCCAATGCAGCACCGCAGCTGCCCTGGCCCTGCTGCCGCCAGCAAGCATCGGTGCGCCTTGAGCAGCACACAACCTGCCTCATTTGGTGCGCCCGCATTCCCCTCGGCAGGTGGCTGCAGGCGCTCTGCGCCACGACCTGGCAGGCCTTCCAGTGTGGGGCCGCCGACTGGCCTCCCACGGATCGGGATCAGTACCATCTTCTTGCGCTACTGGCTGAGTGGGCCCCGGCCGCTGTGGCCACCAGCACCGAGCTGCAGGGCAGGCTGGCTAAGGCGGTGCAGACGGAGATGGGGGTGGGAAGGCCATTTGAGGTGAGCACATGGCACCTCACCGCACCCGCTGCGCCGGGGCGGGGGATCGGCCCCGGCTGGCGGCTGCCTGCGCTGCACGCCGACAGCAGGGCCTGCGCCATGCTGCGGGCTGCGAGGTGCATGGAGGGCGTTTCCCGCCGCCCCTGACCCGCGCCGCTGCCCCGGCCCTCTGCGCTGCAGGGGCAGGACGACATGGAGGCCATCTTTTACGCAGGCTCCGAGCTGCTTCAGGTGGCGGAGCGGTCGCCCGTAGCGACCGCCCTGCTGCTGGGCGGCGATGATGTGACTGCCGACGTCGTCACGGCGAGTATGGTGGGCCTCGCCCTCGACGCAAGCGTCCTCAAAGCGGTGAGCTTGCAGGCTTGAGACGCGGGCCAGCCGGCTGCGGCGCCGCTCCTCTGGACGCCACCGCACTCCAGCGCCTTGCATTACTCGACAGTGCAGCGGGGCCCAGCCCCTGCAGCCGCACAGCTGCGGCTCGATTGTTCTGCCGGCATTCCAACGTTCCCAACGGCGCAGTTGGCTACGCTCCCATGCCCACGCAGTTGCACCGTCCCTCCTCCCTTGCTTCAGGTGGACCGCATTGTGGGCCACATCCTGCGGGCTGCAGGAGGGATGGTGGCTGCGGCGCAGGCAGAGGCTGCGGCGGCAGCTTCGTGCCCCGGCACGGCCGTGGGTACTAGCGGCGAGCTGCTGACGGCGTTGGGGGAGGGCATGGCGGCGTTGGAGGCAGTGCTTTACCCGTCTGGTGGGCGGACCGTGGCTCTGGCTGCGCTCGTGCAGCAAGCGATGGCTGCAGCAGATGGCGCGTTGCGGCAGCAGGCAGAGGCGGAGGAGGCGCTGCGGCAGCACCTGCTGGACAATGAGCTGCTGGCAGCACGGCGGCTGGCGGCAGCGCTGCTGCGCTGGTGGCGGCGGCCGCAGCAGGAGGAGGCAGACCGGCTGGAGCTGGCGCAGGCGGCGGCCACCCGCAGCTGCGCCTACCTTGCCTGCGCCAACCTGGGCGCCGAGGGTGGCGCAGGGGCTGGGGAGGGCGTGGGAAGCAAGCGGTGCAGCGGGTGCCGGGCGGTGTGGTACTGCGGCACTGCCTGCTCCCATGCCGACTGGCGGGCGGGGGGGCACCGCCGGGTGTGCAAGGCGCTGGCTGCGGCGCGGCAGGCGGCGCGGCAGCAGCGCCAGGAAAGGGCGGGGCCCCCCTGATCTATCCACCCTTCCCTGCCTGCGCACCACAGACCCAGCACCCCGCCTTGCTCACTGTGTTGCACTTGGGGCACTGGTTGGGCCCAATGTAATGCCAGCCGGCGGCACGCATTGCGACAGTGAAGTACATGCCAGCGGTACAGAAGCACACATGCTTGACTGTTGCGCGCAGCGAAGATCGCATCAGTCTTGTTACACATCCAGCACATCTGCGTCGGCCGCCCCTGCCCCCTGCCCGCCGCCCGGCAGCATCTGCCGCCGCGCCTGCCGCCGCCTCTCTCTGATCACCCGCTCTGCCGGCACCATCTCTGCCAGCGTGCTCTCGTGGCCGCTGCCTGCACGGAGCGGCATGGGTGGCATGCGCGGCAGCGGGCACAGGCGTGCGCAGGAGGTGGGTGGCAGGCAGGCACGCCAGAAGGGCCCGGGCCCCGACAAACGCCAGCCGCACAGCACCGCGTGGGCCGGGGAGGGCGGGGCAGCAAGAATGCCTTGCTGCTTCACCCACACAGCACAGCGCAGCGCAGCACAGCACAGCACAGCACAGCGCAGCGCAGCATAGTGCAGCACAGCGCTTGGCTCCCGCGGCACCACCGCCCGGCGCACCCGCCACGAGCTTGGCGCGCCCGTTCTTGGAGGGCGGCAGCGAGCGGAAGAAGTTCTCCACAAACGAGCGCTCAAACACCACGCTGCAGCACACCGGGGGGCAGAGGAGTTACGCGAAGGGCAGGGGAGCAGGCTAGGCACCGAGGGCGCTGGGTGGCGAGCGGGAGATGAGCAGGCCGAGAGGGGCTGGGTGGTGGCCGCGTGTGGGTCATGCCCACAGCAGGCGGCAGGCGAGATGAGGTCCAGGCTCAAGCGACGCAAGCAGGTGCAGCGTGCACAGCACGGGGCCGCCACCCACCCCTGGGCGTCCTGCACCGGGTCCTCGATTTGCAGCAGCTGCAGGGGCGCAGCATGGCGGCGACGACGCGGGTGACGGAGCCACCACTCCGACGCAGCCCCACAAATCAGCCGGCTAGCCAAGCCGGCCCACTCTGCATGCGCGCTGCCCAACCCGTCGCCGCCGTGCACGCAGGCAGGCTGGCCGCACACCCACCGGCTTGGCGGAGAGGGGGCAGATCACGTTGGGCGCCAGCTGGTGCGCCCCGCCCTCGATGGCAATGTCGTCGTCGATCTGCTCGTCGTCGCCGCCGCCGCCGCCCTTGCCGCCGCCCGCCGCCGCCGCCTCAAAGTCGCGCATCAGCGGGTCGGCCTCGGCACTGAAGCTGAAGGTGGCAGCGGATGAGGGGGAGAGCTGGTGGATGGGCGGGCAGGCAGGCACGGGGGTGCAGGAGCGAGGGGTTTGGAGAGAGAGGCGGCCCAGGCCTGCGTCCAGCCAGCCAACCCCGCCAGCCCATCCGTGGCGGGGGCTCTGCCACCCAGCCCCACCGGCACCCCCCTGCCGCCAACTCACAGCTGCTGCTCTCCCAGCCGCTGCACACTCTGCGCCAGGCTGGCGCCAAAGTCTGTGGGCTCCGGCCCCGCCTCGTAGCTGCCCTTCAGCTCCTCCAGCGCCGCCGCCTGCAGCTGGCTGCGGTGCCGCGCCTCCATCAGGCGCGCGGCGGCCTGCCGCAGCTGCTCCACCTGCGGGGAAGTGCAGGAAGGCGATCAGGGAAAAAGGTGCAGGACCGGGCAGGCTGGCGCAACCGAGGCATCGCCTTGCTGCACAAGCGCGGCGCGCCCTCCACCCATCGTACACGACCGCCCTCGGAAGCAAATGCAACGCCGCACGGCGCCGAGACATCGGCGGCGCCGCAGCAGCACGCCCGGGGGTGCGCGCCTTCTCCGGGTCGCCGTCCCCCGCCCCAAACACGGTGGCTACGTCGCTGAGCAGCTCCACAGAGTCGGCGCAGCCCTGTGAGGGGCAGGCTGGGAGCGTGCTCAGCGCGGCCTCGGCCCCAACCACCGCCGCCGGGCAGCTGCGCGGAGCGGCCACGCGAGCGGGTAGGGCGGGGCGCTCACCTCGCCGTAGCGCTGGTGGCGCTGCAGGTGTGTGTATATTGCCGCCAGGACGGGCTGCGGGTTATAGTGCACCGCCTCCATGGCAGCGCAGGGGCCGCCCAATCCTGCAAAGGCGGCGGTGGGGGTGATCGGCGGCGGGAGGGCAGGCGCGGCGCGGGACTGACGGTGATGCGTGGCGCGCTGAAAGCTGCCCACGTGTGGCAGCGCGGGCGGCGTGGCGCCTCTGGAGACAAACTTGAACCCACCGATCACTCCTGCCTGCCGCTCTACTCGCTCAGACAGTGCTCAGACCGCGATATTGAACCAAGCGCCGGTGCAAAACGCAAAGTCCTGGCGCGCAGGCTCCGCGCATGGCCAGCGGGTCGCCGTCGGCCTGGCGCCGCCAGCGCATGTGACTGCGACGCCAGCTGCGTGCGGCATGGGGCTGATGTTCCAGATGCTGGCGCGTGCGATTGCCACTGCACTCTGGATGCCACCATGATGACTGTCACCACCAGAATCCAGCGGAAGCTGGGTTGTGCACGTGGCGTCAGCGCCGCCCTCGTGCAAGCATCGAGCTCCTGGCTCCACGACGCATTCAGTGGCTCAGGGCATGCATCCCTTCTTCTTCTTAGCATCTCGTGTCAATGTTTAGACATGCCAGGAGGTCCACAGGTTCCCCAGGACCGAGTCGGCGGCAAACCGCTTGGCGCCAGCCGGGCAAGATGCCATCCCTCTTGCGCGAGATGAGGTCATCGCGCTGCATCGCCTGCTGCAATCCCCCCCCCCCCCCCCCCCCCCCCCCCCCCCCCCCCCTTGCTGGGTCTGGCAGGAGCAGGGCCTGCGCTCGTTGAACGTCTCGGCGATCAATTCACTTTTAGCGACAGCAGCTCCTGCAGACCTGCCATCGCCGCAGCCCGATCGCATCACCGGCAGCGATGCAGGCATCCCGGTTCAGGGTGGGGCTCGGCGCGATGGCGCCGGCCAGTTTCAGCAGGCTGTCACCCTCCTGTGGGGTTCAGCTACCTGGATCCGTGCCCAGGGCGCAGGCGATGGCGCAGCCCGCCAGGCAGCTCACGGGCGTGGCAGCCGCGGCGCCGCAGGTGACCGCCACCCGCCTTTCCTTTCGCCACGCGCCTGTCGTTTCGTGTCTGCTGCACCCCACAGCACGGAACACACCCTGCCTGCCTTGCTCACACATGCCTATGCACCCCACGCCACGCATGCAGCTGCCACGCCTGGCCCGGCCTGCCTCTGCGGCCCGGCAGCGGCCCGCTGTGCAGCAGCGGCGGCCCGTGGCGGCGGCGGCGCCGCCGCCCGCAGTTGCCGCCGCGGCAGCCTCCGAGCCCGCCAACGCTGGCGGCGCCCTGAAGATCGCCGCCTACGTCTTCCTTTGGTGAGCGCAGGCCTCTGGGCAGGCCCTCTCGCTCCGAGTCAGCCAGCCAGCATCGGCCGCAGGCCTTCCGTGGGACTCAGCCCTCCGCTGCGTGGATCCCTGCTGCTGCGCCCCATCCTTGCGTCTGTCACTTGTACCGCCCTTACCTGATGTACCGCCCCCACCTGCCCCGCAGGTATGCCTTCAACATCGCCTTCAACCTGCTCAACAAGTCCACCCTCAACATCTTCCCCGCCCCCTGGTTCCTGGCCACATTCCAGCTCAGTGAGTGGCCTGGGTGGGTGTGCCAGGGGCCAGGCACCTGGGCTGATGGGGACTGGGACTGGGGCAGGGGCCAGCAGGCAGGCTGCACTTTCCAGCGACTGCCCAAACAGCGGGTGCCCGGCGGCTGCATCCCTGCTTCGGCGGGTCCCCCTTGGCGTCTTGCGGGAGCGGCTACTTGGGAGCTGCAGATGCCACACTCGGTGCAGGCTGGGCCAAGAGGGCCCCCCACCACGCCCTGACTCCCCACCCCTCGCCTCCCACCCCACCTCCGCCCCGCCGCAGTCGCCTCGGGCGCCTTCATGTGCACGCTGTGGGCGCTGCGCCTGCAGCCGGTGCCGCGCGTCAGCTGGGGCGACATCCGCGCGCTGGCGCCCGTGGCCCTCTTCCACACCATCGGCCACGTCTCCGCCTGCCTGTCCTTCTCGCAGATGGCGGTGTCGTTTGCGCACGTGGTGAGCGAGCAGGAGCCTGCCGCCGCGTCTGCTGCCTGCCGTTACTGTTGCCCTTGGCCGTGTCGGTCTGCCGCTGCGCTTGCGCTGGCCAGCCGCATTGCGTCTCTTTGCCGCCCACTGCCTCCCCGCCTCTGCCCTCCTGGACGCTGGCCGCCCTACCGCACACTCGTTTGCCAACCAGCCATTGAGCTCTCCTGCTTGGCTCAACCTCCACCCCTGCCCTGCCTCCTCCCCTCCTGCAGGTCAAGTCTGCAGAGCCGGTGCTGTCGGTGGTGCTGGCGCAGGTGAGCTGGTGGGCGGGCTGGCAGGGTGGTGATTGGCGATGGCGCATGCCGCGCCCCGCCTGCCGCCGCGACCAACCACTCCCGCCGCCGCCAGATGCAGCCCCAGGCTTGCCGCCACGCACATTGCCTCTGAGCGCCGCTGCGCCCCGTTCCTCACTGCTTCTGCCCCTGCCTGACCTTCTGTTGCTTTCCCTGGGCCCCTGCTGCTTGGGCCTGCCATGTGTTGCGATTTCCTGCCCCCCTGTTGCTTTATTCTGCCCGCTGTTGCGGTGTGTGCCGCAGGTCATCCTGGGCGAGGTGTATCCCTACTACGTCTGGCTCTCCCTGCTGCCCATCATCGCGGGCTGCTCGCTGGCGGCCATGAAGGAGGTGTGTGCGGCCTACGGGCTGGTTGCCGGACTGGTTTCTGGGTTGCGCTCAGCTGGCTTGGGGGACGCTCGTGCCCTCTCGGGTTTAGGGTTACTTCCATCCATCTCTCCCCAACCCCTTTCCCTTCCATGTTCCTCCGCTCCCATTTCCACTCCCCCATCCATCACTCTCACACACGCACACACTCGAAGGTCTCTTTTGCCTGGTCCGGCTTCAACAACGCCATGGTGTCCAACGTGGGCATGGTGCTGCGCAACATCTACTCCAAGAAGTTCCTGGGCCAGCTCAATGTGAGTGTGCTGGCGCTGTGGTGGCACGCAGGTGCCGGGTGATGCGTACGGAGCTGCACTTGCCCGTTCTTACGTCCCCACCATTGCCCCACCACCACCACTTCAACCAACCAACCCTGCCATGTCGCCCCCCGGACTGCAGCTGGATGGCATCAACCTGTTTGCCATCCTGTCCATCATCTCCATCTTCTACTGCCTGCCCTGCGCGCTGGTGCTGGAGGGTGGGTGCCCGCGCCCTGCTGCCTGCCTGCACGAGTGGCTTGTGGTTTTGTACTGCCGCTACTGGGGTGGCGACTTGCCATGACGCCACCCTCCCGCTGCCGCCTCTGTGCAGGCTTCAAGGGCGGCGTGAACAACTGGGCGCCGATGTGGGAGTCGGGTGTGCCCCCTGCCCACTTGCTTTGGGCTTGAGCTTCTTTTCTTCTTGCCCGCGTCTTCACCCTGATACCTGCAAGCGCCTCTGCCCAGACCACCGGCGCAGCGCTGCACTCTATAGAGCGGCGTCGTTGCCGATATGCCTACAGCCGCTTACTGCTGCTTTGCTATGCTGATTGTGCCTCCCTTTACTGTCCGCCCGCCCGCCTGCAGCTGTGCTGGCGTCTGGCAGCCTGGCGGCCTTCATCAAGCTGCTGGCAGCGGGCGGCCTCTTCTACCACCTGTACAACCAGGTGTGGGGTGGTGTGGGGTGAGGTGGTGTGGTATTGGTGTGGTGAGGTGCGGGGTGGGGTGGTGTGGGGTGGAGTGGGGTGTTGAGCTATGGTGATGTGTAGAGTTCCAGGGACCGGCAAGCAGGCCGTGGGGCCTGCAGCCAGCGTGGTGCCCCCTGTCCTCCCTGCCACCCCAAGGCTGCAACCACTGCCTCCCGCACGACGCGCACACCGACGCGCACACACGTACCTCCGCCTGCAGGCCTCCTACATGGTGCTAGACCAAGGCATCTCGCCAGTCACCTTCTCGGGTGCGCGGCCAGTGGCGGGCCTAGACAGCGCAAGCGCAGGCCACCGCCCAGCCTGCCCCGTGCCAGCCTCGCTCCTGCAGCGGGCCCGCTCCGACCTGTTCATGCTGCACTGCGTGCCAACATCTCCCGCATTCTCCGCTGCCTGCCCTCCCCTCCCTGCAGTGGGCAACACCATGAAGCGCGTGGCGGTGGTCGTCTCCTCGGTCCTCTTCTTTAAGAACCCGGTGTCGAGTGAGCGGACAGATACGGCAGCCTGCGGCCTGCGGCCTGCCTTGGACTCGCGCCCTGTGCAGCCCGCCAGTCCCGGGACCACCCTACTCGCGCATGAGGCACGGCCGCATCTCCCCACCCCACCCTCCGCCTGCCTTCCCAAAACCCTCACCCGCCGTTGCCCACCCGCCTGCAGTCCTCAACTGGGTGGGCAGCATGGTGGCGCTGTTGGGCACCGGCCTCTACTCGCTGGCCAAGCAGAAGGCGTCGGACGAGGCCAAGGCGCAGGCCAAGGCGAGGAGCAGGAGCGTGAGCCCCACGCCTTGGCGCGACCTGCCGCCCCGCGGCTAGGGCGGGGCGCCGCGCGGGGTTCTCAGAGCCGCTCTTCCTCGTCGCCCAAGGCGGTGTGCGTCAACGCCGGTCACGGTCTTTTGCGGTGGCCGGGGCCTGTTCTTTCCAGCTGTGCAGCGGCTGACGGTGCCTGCTGCACTTCACACACCAGAGCGTGCAACAATGAGCAGCTCTCCCATAAATCAATGCATTGCGATCATGATGAGATGTCGGTGCAAATTGACCATATCAAAATCATACAAATAAAAAGTCAGTAGTGCCAAGGGGCAGCATCCCGTGTTGGGCATGCCAGCCTAGAGACGGGTGCCTCGCTCAGTAGGTGTCTTGCAGCTCGTCGGCCGACGGCGGCGTCGCAGCGGCGGCCTTGCGCCGTGCAGCCGCAGCCGCCGCGCCGCCGTACTTGAGCTGGCCATGGTCGTACACCCGCTCCACTGCGGCAGATGGCCGGAGGGAGGCAAGGCCGATGCAAGGGGTGAGGACAGAGGGACAGGCATGGCGGAGACGGATCGGCAGCAGGCCGCGGCTGCGCCGGCCGGCAGGTTCCGGGCCGAATTTGCGGGTGCATGCATGCGCTGCCAGCTGCAGCTGTGCAGCGGTCGCCCACCCGTGCTGCCGTCGGAGTTGAGGAAGGCCACGACGGCGGCGATGTTGTCGGTGGAGCCACGTGCCAGCGCCTCCAGCACCAGCCGCTGCGGGCGGGCAGGCAGCAGGCGGGCAGGCGGCGGGGCAGGCAGGCGGGTGAGGCGGCGGCCAGGCTGCCGTTAATAGGGAGGTATCCGGTGGGGTTGGTGTGGGGAGCCAGGAGGGCGGGACAAAGCGGCAGCCGCCGATGCGTGTGATGGGCAGGGAGGCCGGGCGCCTGCCCCTGCGGCCCACCTGCGCACACATGCCCGGGTGCTTGACGGTGTCCTGCACCAGCGCCACGGCATCCTCGTTGCTGCAGGGACAGGCGGCGGCACAACCCTAAACCCTGAAACCCTAAAAGGGGGGCGGGCAGACGGTGGGGCCCAGCGTGCGGGTAGAGCCACCGCCAGCCGGCAGGGAGGCCAATAGCGGTCCCACCAGCCAGCCCCAAAGAGAAGAAAATAGATTAGTGTGAGTCTTCTGCTGTGCAGCAGCGCAGCACCTGACGCGGTCCCAGAGGCCGTCGGTGGCGGCGATGAAGAAAGCGTCGCGCGGCGTCAGCGCCACCTCAGCCACCTCCGCCTCCGCACTCACGCCCTCCCCTTTGAGGTCGGCGTCGCCGATTGACCTGCGCAGGTGAAGGCCAGACGAGGCCAGGAGGAGCCAGCAGAGGTTACGGAGGCGGGCGGTCAGAGGCAGGCAAGGTGACAGTGACAACGTTGTTAAGCGCGGGGGACATAGGGAAATAGGGGCTGCCCAGGTCATGCTGCGCCGCAACACTGCACAACAGAGGCCTGCCCCTGCCGGGTGGCCGCAGCTGGCCCCCGCCTGCAACGCTCGCCTCGTGACCTGCAGCCCCGCGGCGCCCACGCGCCAGCCGCCGGCCCGCACGGCGCAGGCGCCGCCCGCCGCTGCCACCCGCCGCCGCTCGTTGGGGAGCTCTGCTGTGTGGTCCCGGGTCAGCTGGACCGCCTGCGGGCGGGGTGGGCGTCAGGCGGCGGCACGGCAGGCAGGGCTCAGCTGGAGCAAGCACAAGCAAGAAGCAAGTACCCAACCAAGCACGCAGCAGGCATGGCGGGGCAGTAGCAGTAGCAGCCAAGCGGGCAAAACCCGGAGTCGCCGGCAGCAGACGACAAATCAGGAGCCGGCCGGGGGAGCAGCCTTGCGTTGCAGGACAACCCCGCAGCAGCTGGCGCAGCGCGCAGCGCCAGCGCACCTGGCCGTCCCGGCACAGCACCACACGGCTGTCCCCCAGGTTCGCCACAGCCAGTGCCTGCTGCGCCTGCGCCTGGCCCGGCTGCCGCCGCGGGTAGACAAGCACGAGGGTGGCGGTGCTGCCGGGCGCGGGGCGGGCGCCGGCGGCGGCGGCGCCCATGCGCGCCAGCCGGACCGCCCACACGGCGTCCTGCTGCGCGCGGTATGCCACGTCAGCGTCCGCCAGCGCGCCCGCCAGCAGCTGCCCCGCGCCGACGGCGGCGGCGTGCAGCCGGGCCGACAACAGCTGCTGTAGGTTGTGGGTGAGAAACTCGGCGGCAGAGGCGCCCCTGCGCAAAGGCCAGGGGACGGCCAGTGGCGGCAGGAGGTGAGCGGCAGCAACCGCACTCGAGCTGCGAGTGCGTGCAACAACAGCAGCTGCTGCCCTCTGCCCCTGCCTCTATCAGTCTCAAGCCAGCCTGCAGGCTCTAGGCGGGCACAGCCACACCGCCAGCCGGCCCTACCTGTGCCCATCAAAAACGCCCACAGCGGTGCAGCCGGGGGCTCCTGCGGTACCAAAGGCATCGGGCAGTACCACCACCATGTCCTCCATCTGGTCCCGCTTGCCGGCTGTGAGGAAGCTGCCTGTGAACACAGGCGCGGAGGCCGCCGCTCCGCCGGCCGCCAGCCAGGCGGGCAGGCCGCCTGCGGTTGGGCCGCCGGGCGCTGGGGCAGCTGAGGCGGCATCAGCCAGGCCTGCGGCATCAGGCATGTCTGCGTCGCGGCTGGCCTCGGCGGCAGCACCGCCTGGCATGTCCCGCTGCCGCTCCTGCTGCTGGGAGGCAGGCTGGCCAGCTTCCTGCGCTGCGCTGGGAGCAGGAGGTGCTTGCGCCGCTGCCGCTACCTTGCTGCTGCGGCATGCCTCCCCCGCCTCCGCCCCCACCTCTGCTGCCACCTCTGCCGCCGCCGCCTCTGCCGCTCTTGCCATGCCCTCCAGCGCCGACGCCACCTCGCCCGCGGCGGGCCGCTCGCCCGGCTGCCGCGCCCAGCACCCCTGCAGCAGCAGCCGCAGCGGGGCCGGCGTGCCCGGCGCCAGCGTGGGGCGCAGGCCCTCAGCCGCCACCGCGGCAGCCAGCTCCTGCCGCCCGTAGCCCATCTCAAGGATGGTGTGGGCCAGGGGGTTGTCGCGGGTGCAGTCGGAGTAGGGAAGCTGCCCGGTAGCCAGCTCGTTCACCGTCACCGCCAGGGCGAATACGTCGGAGGCGGGGGAGTGGGGCGAGCCCAGCAGCACCTCTGGGGCCATGTATTCGAGTGTGCCGACCTGCAGGGGAGGTGGGGGGGTGGGGGTGGTGAGGAGGTGGGTGAGGTGGTGGTGGAGGATGTGGGTGGTGAGGAGGTGAGGAGGTGGCGAGGTGAGGCAAGGGGGGGAGGTGGGATGGTGAGGAGGTGGGGGGTAAGGAGGTGGGGGGTGAGGAATTACTTGTAGTTGAGGCAGGCGCTGAAGGCCGGCCCGCCCAGGGCAGGAAGGTGGCAGGCCGCATTGGCGGCAGGAGGAGCACGCAGAGGCAGCGCGGCTGCCCACCAGCAAGGCCTCCCGCATCATCCCGCCAGCTGGAAGCTGGGTAAGCAGCCATTGCTGCAGCACCCCTCGTGCCAGCACCCCCCGTGCCAGCACCCCCGTGCGTGGCAGCACCCCCCCATTCCCGCCCCACCATGCGCTGCTTGTGGAAGCCGCCCGTGGGCTTGGCGTGGCTGACGGCGCCCTCGGCCAGCTCAGCGGCCGCCGCCGCCAGTCCCAGGTCCGCCAGCCGCGCCGCGTCGCGCGCCGCGTTGAGCAGCACGTTTGCCGGCTTGATGTCGCGGTGCACGCAGCCGGCGGCGTGCATGTGGGCGAGCGCCGCCGCCAGCTGGGCGGCCAGGCGCAGCAGGCGGGGCCAGGCGGGGCGCCAGCCCGCAGAGTGCAACTCGCTGGCGGCGCTGGTCGCCTCCAGCTGCAGCACCATCTGGTACCCTGCGGCAGCGGTCCGGACGGCGGGGCCAGGGCAGGAGGTGTGGGAAGAGCTTCGCAAGGCCTGGAGATGGGCAGCAAGGCGCCGGCGGCAAGCGGCATGCCAGCTCCGCCCGCGGCTGCCCGGGAGCGGCGGCGCACCACGGCGGCTGGCCAGGCGAGCAGCGCAGGACGCAGCGCCCCGGAGCCGCAACGGCGGCGGCGCGCCCCTGCGCACCCGGAGGCAGCAGGCGGGCGCCCAGCAGTCGCGCGATGTGCGGGTGCCGCAGCTGGGCCAGCAGGGCGGCCTCGCGCCGGAAGCGGTCCAGGTCTGCAGTGCAGGGAGGGTACTTGTTTGTTGGCAGGTGGTTGAGCCATGGATGGCAGCCGAGGTGAAGGCCGGCTGCGCAGCCCATAAGCGAGGTGTAGCCTGTGATGTGCATTAGGCTTGGGCAGCCCTGCCAAGGGCCGCGTGCCGGGCATTATGGGGGGAGGGGAGCGGGCGCCGCCCGCACCTGCCGAGTTGCGTATGTGCGCCCGCTTCACCGCCACCGCCAGCCCGCCGGGCGCGGCTGGGTCCAGGCCGGGCACCAGGTGGGCGCACTCGGGCGCCAGCTGGGCGGAGAAGACGCAGGCCTGGGCGCCGTCCGATAGCGGCGCCAGGTCACGCAGCGCTTGCTTGGGTAGTGCCAGGTGCACCTCGGCCGCCGCCCCGGCCGCCTCCGCCCCCGCAAAGTCGCCGCGCTGCACGGCCGCCGCCATGGCCGCGATGGCATCGGCCACGCTGGTGCGCGGGCCGCTGGGGGCGGCAGGCGGCGGCTGGAGCGGCGGCGGCGCCACCACCGTCATCGCGGGGAGCAGGGCGGGGGGGTGCGGCGGGTCCGGCAAGCGGATGTGAGCAACGTGCTAATCCTGCAGCACGGCAGCGCGGGGAATGTGAGAGTCGGGCATAGCATAAGCTGCATATGCCCGCCAGCCACCCGAACGCGCCGGCGGTGGTGCAATTCTCACGTCAAAACGTCCCCGGGGCTGGAGACACGAGCCGACACACCAATTGCCGACGAGCCGGCGGAACACAGCCTGCGGAGTCTGGCGCCACCACCCAAATAGGCGGCTGCAGCAGCTGGGCAATGGGTCCGATTCAGAGGAAACAGGAGAAGAATGACAATGCATTTTGGAGAGGGCCACCGCCACCGCCACCTCAACCACGGTCCCTCGCTGCCGCCAGTTCATGGGCCGATGTGATTACACGGAATACTCCGTCACGCACAGCACACAGGGGGGCGCAATCAGGCTGACGCCTCGTCAGCTTGCTGCAGCTACGCCCTCGCAGCGTGCAGCTGCTGCCGCGCCGCCTTCCGCGCCGCCTCCAGCGCCTTGCACACCCGGCGGTGCCCCCCCGCCCGCCAGTCGGCATGGGAGCAGGCAGTGCCGCAGTACCACACCGCCCGGCACCCGCTGCACCGCTTGCTTCCCACGCCCTCCCCAGCCCCTGCGCCACCCTCGGCGCCCAGGTTGGCGCAGGCAAGGTAGGCGCAGCTGCGGGTGGCCGCCGCCTGCGCCAGCTCCAGCCGGTCTGCCTCCTCCTGCTGCGGCCGCCGCCACCAGCGCAGCAGCGCCACCGCCAGCCGCTGCGCTGCCGGAAGCTGCACCTGTTGCAGGTGCTGCTGCAGCGACTGCGCCGCCTGTTTCTGCTGCTGCACCGAGCCATCTGCTGCAGCGATCGCTTGCTCCAAGAGTGCAACCAAAGCGTTGCTGTGTCTGCTAGGAGCAGGGTTAATCACCGCCTCCAGCTCCCTCTGCGCTGCCGCCAGCTCAAGCATCAGCTCATCGCCGGTGCTCGCTGCAGTGCCGGCAGACGAGGCAGCGGAAACAACAGCAATTGCCTGTCTGGCGGCCGCCGCAAACGAGTGGAGTGTCAGTAGGATGGAGTCGGGGACGTAGTTAACCTGGACGCGGGGCGGCAGAGGACAGTGGGCAGGCAGGCCAGCGTGCCAGAGAAGCTGATGCAGCTGCTCGGGGGCCCAGACTTCGCCATTCATTTCTAAAACTAATCTTAAAACACCATGAGCTGCTGGATGTTGCCGCGGCTCCGAATGGAAGATGGTGGGCACCCCCCACACAAGCTACGCGCAGGGTTGCATGCAGACAAGCGTGGAGCAAACTCACCGACGCACAAATCTCGGCCTTTGCCGCGTGCGCCAGCAAGTCTGTGGTCGCCGCACGTGCAGCGCCGCTGCCGCTGCCAAGGACGAGGGCGGCCGCCTGCAAAAGTAAAGGTAAAGGTGGGGAAGAGCCTCCACAGGCTTAACTTCCCGGTTTTAACGTCTAGCTTTAGACCATTATTTGATCTGCCCGACGCGCCAAGTGCAGTACCCCCCACTAGTAGTGAATGGGTCCCGGGGAGGCCTGTGCCGAAGCCTTGGCGATTCTATTAGGCGTTCCCGAAGGAATTGGCTTGGATTGGCGCTGAGCCGGTCTGCAGCGACCGCTTGGTGGCGGTGGAAAGCTGGGTGCACAAGCCATGGATGTGGCGCTGCGTCTGTTCCGCCCCCTGCATGGCACTCACAAAAGAAAGGCACCAGATCCGTCAAGAGACAGCGCCTGTGCAGGCATGGGCAGGTGGCTGAGGGCGCGCAGGCGGCTCATGTGGAAAATGCCAAGCATGGGGCCCCAATCAGCAGATTAAACGCTCAGAACAGTGCATGTGCCAGCGCCTCTCGCACACCTGAGGCGCCAGTGCCTCCAAGGCATAGGTCAGCCCGAGTTGCAGCTCTCGGCTGGTGGCCAGCGCTGCCGGCGCCCAAGCAACCACGTCCAGCAGGCAGCACGCCACATGCAAATGCTGTACCTGGCTCAAGCCTGTCCCATGCATGCGCGGCAGCAGCACCTGTACGGCCTGCGCATGGGCGGCACAGAGGCCCTGCAGCCACCTGCACCAGCAACCGGCGCACGATGCGGCGGGATGTTCAGCTGCGGTCAACCAGAATGCACAGGTGTGCTGCTGCCTTCCCAGAGCAGCGACTCCACACAACATCTCTACAGGCAGACGTGCATTGTGATCAACTCAGTCGACGATGCAAGAAGTCCCCACCTGCTAGGTGCCATCGCAAGCGCTGCAGCGGTGCCGCCGCTGCTGTCACCGCTGATGTCGCCCGTGCTGGTGCCGCTGCAGCGCTCAACAATGTCATGCAGCTGGCAGCAGACTGATGCTGGCTGGGCCACCACCTCCAGCATAGCCATGTAGCAGGGCAGCGGCGCATCGCCGTCAGCCGCGCGCCAGTGCACGTAACGACACCCGGAGGCGTGCAGCCGGCGCAGCGAAGATAGCAGCACCTCCCCACGCTGCCCATCCTCAGCGAGGACTGCCGCAACAGCTGTCGGGTGATCCGGCTCCCCGAGATGCGAGAAGACCTTGCAGGCCAGCACAACAAGACAGGGGAGACCGGCCAGGCGTGCAGCAAGCTGGTCCGGCACGTCCAAAAGCTGAGCGTCCACCTCTGCCGCCACTGGCCCCAGCCTCAGGCGCGACGCCTCCGCCTCCGCCTCCGCCTTCGCCACCAGCGGCAGCAGCTGCAGGGCGTCTGCTGCGCAGCTGCACCAGGCCGCTAGTGCGTCCAGGGTGCTGCGAGACAGCGGCGCACGTATTAGCGGGCACTCAACCTTCAAAGCGCCGTGCGGGTTGGACCTGGGCTCGGCCAGGATGCACAGCAGCTGCGCAAGATAGTCCACGAACGCGAACATGTCCGACACCAGGCTCCAGGACGCGTTCCCTGGACTATGCTTCGCAGCGCCAATGGCCATGCCCAGCACGCGGCCCAGACGTGGGAAGAGCGGTAGGAAGTGTGCGTGCCGCTGCGCCGCATCTGACGGCCTGGCAGTTGCAGGCTGCCGGTCAAGCAGCTGCCACTGCAGGTAGGCTGACAACCCCAGCAGCTTGGACATGCTGAAGGCAATCCAGAAGCGATGATCAGGCACGGCTTGAGGCCCACCGGCCACTGCTGCCTGCGTGGGGTCGCCCAGCGGAACGTGCTGCATGAGAGCCGTCGCCGCGCGTGTCAGCCGCGCAATGCTGGTGGCCGCGGGGCTGCTGCTGTCTTGAGCCGACGCCGCCAGCAGCTCCAAAAGAGCGTGCCTGATAGCGCCACAGCTGACGACAATGGCCAAACTGGCTGCCAGCTCCCAGCAGGCTCGCTGCGGCCGCCGCTCCTCTGGAAGCTGCACTGCGGCTGCCGTCGCCGAGAGCGCTGGCAGTAGCAGCATGAGCAGGCTGTGGCTTAAATCCAGGCGCCGCAGCCACTCATCACGATGAGGCGAAAAGAAGCGCGGGCACTTCACCATGTGTCTCAGCACATGCGCCATCGGCCCAAGAATGCGCATGTGCACCGGCCCTGCAGCAGGGGCACAGGCAACTGTTGTGTCGGAATTAGAGGCAGCAAGAGAGTGGACAGGTGCTGCCAAGTCGCAGACACTGAGGTTGGCTTTGGAGGATGAGAGGGTGCCACACATCCAGCAACTGCCGCCACAAAACATGCCAGCCCCCACGCAGCAGCCCCCCGCCCACCTGCCGGCCCAGACGCCAGGAGGGCCTGCATCGCCTGCACCACGGCCTCCACCCAATCCATCAGCTGTCCAGGCGGTGCATGCTGGGTGGCCAGGCTCTCCAGCGATGCGCCGTTGTCCGGCTCCATGCGAGAGCACTCCAGCACGTGCAGCATTGCCGTCACTTGCGCCTCCACCAGTGCCAGCAGGTCATCTGCCAGCGCATCGCCGGCCTCCCGTTCCAATGTGGCTGTGCTCATGAGCACCAGGGTGCCTGAACCCAGCAGCAACTGGACGCCGCGGGCGCAGTCGGCAGGCGCCAGGTCAATGCAGCCGGTAAACAGCATGCTGGCGATGCTGACATGGCCCGCCGCAGCGCTCTGCCTATCCGGTGCGCCCACGCGGTCTTGCATGCGGTCTTGCATCCTGCCCAGGATCCGGCCATTGGCTACAAGTAGCTGCTGGACCGCCTGCCGCACGCGGCTGCAACCAGGAGCGGGGCGATAAGTGAGACGGCGGCAGGTGAGCGGCCAGAGCAGGAAACACCATGCGTGCCTTGCCCCTTCCACTCGCGGCATCCATTACAATGCCTGCACAACTCACCTGCGCAGCTCTTCTGGCGGTTCCCCGGGCTGCGCCCGTCTCCGCCAAGGCAGGGCGGCGAACATCCTAGCCCTTTCAGCCAATGCCCCCGTGTCGCCCGGGGTATCATCCTCTATGGACGCCTCTAACTCCCGCAGCAGGGCATCCAGTTGAATGTGGTGATCGGCCCATGGGCCCTCATCCAGCGTCATACTAGGCTCAATTTATCGCTCTGGGTCGCCCCAGCCTATAGCAAGGCACCAATTGGCCGCAGGCATGGGCGCATTGGAGAGCCGCCCTCTCAGCAGGCTCGCCACGCTGGCACCGCACATGTGCACACATCCCTGGTGCGGCGACAGATGTACCACTCATGGGCAGACACATGCTGTTGCGCCTGCGCCCTCGCCGCCTGCTGCACATCGCCTGCCGCGCCGCCAACAGCAGTTTGCCCGTCAGCCGGTGACGTCCCGCCTGCAGGTGGCCAGGGGCAGGCGAGGCCGCTGTACCGATCCGCCCTGCATCCGCTGCACCGCTTGCTGCCCACGCTGCCTCTGGACTGCCCTGCGCACGCAGGTTGGAACACGCAAGGAAGGCTCGGCAGCCGCGCACTGCAGGCTGCCACGCCGGCACAGTGCAAGCGCCACGCCGCCGCTCCGTCAAACAGCTCTTCCTCTCCTGATACAAAATATCATAGCTCCACGGTTTCACTCGATGCGTGATAATTCAAGGTTCAGCTGCACACGCGCCGTTTGGAAGACAGCATCACAAAGCAGCATGTCGACAGGCGGCAGCACCGCCACCGCAGCCAGCCGCGACCTGGGAGCGGATTGCATGTCGCGTGGCTGGATCGCGTGTCGCGTGGCTGATGCGACCACACGATGCAGCTTACTACTGATGATGACCTGTGGTCATTGATACATCACTGCCTCTGCCAGCGGCGGAAAGAGGGCGGCAGCGGCAGCGGGTGGAAAACAGGCCCCGCTCGCAAGCCTTCAGTCGTGCATGCAGGTCGCCGGCTGCATTTCCGCGACTTGGGTGTGTTCAGGTCGCCGTTAGCCACTGCACCGGCCCCTTTGGCACTCCTGCACCTAATTGGCTCTGCTCCTTTGCCGCCGGCGGCGAATAGGAAGGCTCTGGCGGTGGAAGTGCCTTGATACCGAGGGGAGATGGCGACGGTGAGCCCGCGCTGCTCTCCGCCGCGCTGTGCCCGTGGGCTGGAGCGCCTGATTGCCTTGCCTCGCAGCTCGTGACGTGCGTTTAGCTATGTATGATCGCAGCAGGCAGCGTGCGGAACGCCCCGTGCAGCAAGGAGTGCGCCGCCCCGCCGCCCTGCCGCCGCTGCCAGGCGGGGCTTACCCACTGTGCAACTTCGCTGCCGGGGCGCAGCAGCCCCGTCTGCTTGGCTGGATTGGAAGCAGCTGCAGATGCAGGGCCCAACTCTTCATCCGCTTCCCTCTGGGATGCAGACTGGCGGCAAGAGTTGGGCGGATGAGGTGGATGAGGAGCAGCCGCAGCAGGGGCAGCAGCCGCAGGCCGCCGCCGCCGACTCAGATGATGAAGGTATGCTGCTTCCGCTGGCGCGGCCTGCTGGGTGCTGTGCCCGCATGTGCTCGTCTTTGTTGATGTTGATGGCGCCGGTGCGACACCCGGCACCTCCTGCCCATCCCGGCCACAGGCCCGCCCCCCGGCTTTGCTCCCAAGGCCGTCTTGGCGGCGGCGGCAGCAGCCAGCGGCAACGGCGGCGCGGCGGACGCAGACGCGGCGGCCGCGGCGCTGGCGGGAGTCAAGGTGCTTGAAGCGCTGTAGGGAGGGCCCGCATGCCGCCGCCGGGGACCCCGCCTTGGCCGTTCCGGGTGCTGCATGCACGCCTTTGCCACGAGACACCCCCACCAGCTGCGCTTCGCGCTGCTCCAGCCCCGCCCGCCCCAGCCCAGCCCGCCTCCTCGCCCCTGCCGCCCTCGCCCTCCGGCCACCCCGCCCTCGCCAACCCCGCCCGCTGGCCGCCTCGCCGCACCACCCTCGCACCCCGCAGGTCAGCGAGGCGCCCCCCACAGACGAGCCAGAGCTGTCCATCTCTGCCGGCCGGCTGCTGGACGACGGCCCGGGCGAGGTGAAGACGGTGACGCAAGGCGACTCTTTCTACACTTCAGGTGGCTCGCGTGCGGCGGCCGCTGCTGTGCACCGCCACCGCGCCTGTCGCGGCGCCGTGCCGCATCCTGGGCTCCTGCAGCGGCCTTGGGGGATGGTGATTCTGGGACTATAGCTGGCGTGCCGCAGGCGCATGAGATGCTCGCGTGTGCACTTCAGGCTGTTTGCCGTGACGGCATGGCACCGTGCCTGTGCCTGCCCTGCTCTCCTCCCACCTATCTCCCCGTCCGCTGTCCCCACCCTGACCAATCTGCCGCCCCGCCCCCCCACCCATCTGCCTGCAGCCAAGACGTTTGAGGAGCTGGGGCTGAGCCAGGAGCTGCTGCAGGGGCTGTACACCGAGATGAAGTTTGAGCGGCCGTCGCGCATCCAGGTGGGCGCTGACCTGGCGCTGACCTGGCGCTGACCTGGCATGCGTGTCCGCTCCACACGACGCCAACGACGGCGGCAGGGCCAGGGCGGGCCCAGGGCGGCCTCAGGCCTGGCGGCCGCAGCCTGCAGCCTGGCACGCCTGCCAAAGCGGCTCGAGGTGACACCCACCCAGCCCTGGCACCCCTGCTGACTGCGCCCCCCTGCCACGGGCCGCCCCGTCCCGTGCGTGCAGGCCCAGACGCTGCCCATGATCCTCACGCCGCCCTTCCGCAGCCTCATCGCGCAGGTGGGCGCCCCCGCCAGCTAGCGGCGCCTGGGGTGGGGCTGGCGCGGGTGCAGGCCTCCTTGCTGTGCGCGCCTGTGGGGAGCGGCAGACGCGGGTGGCTACCTTGAGTGGCAGCCGGGGGTGTGGACCTTGTCGGCCCCAAGCCGTGGCGCTGAAAGCTGCCCAACCAGCAGGCTTGGCGGGCCGTGCACGGCAGCCGCGCCAGGCTGTGGCGGCCAGCTCGGGGGCCCTCTCAGCAGCCACCCAGCCGCCCCCCTGCCTCCACCACCCCTCAACCACCGCCCCCCCTCTGCCTGCCCGCAGGCCCACAACGGCAGCGGCAAGACCACCTGCTTCACGCTGGGCATGCTGGGGCGGGTGGACCCCAAGGTGCAGGCGCCGCAGGTGAGGGAAGAAAGCGCAGCGGCCTGCTGCTGGTGGTGGTGGTGGCGGCGGCTGCGGTGCATGGCCCTGCTGCCTGCCGCAGCTGCCGCAGCAGCCCTTGGGCGCGGCGTGCGCGCGGGAGCAGCGGCGCTGGCGCAAGGCGGCGGGTGGCATGGCGGAGGGAGGTGTGCGGGCACGGCGCCTGCACGCCCCGCTGCCACCTGCCTGTCATCTACGGCTCGGCTGCGCCCAGCAGCCAAAGCCGCCACCGGACGGCCACCCCCAACTTGCCCTTGAAGCCCTCCCGCGTCTATGCTCGCCCCTGCCACCGCCCCCGTGCTGCTCATGCCGCCTGCTGCATATGCCTCCCCCGCTGCCCGCGCAGGCCCTGTGCGTGTGCCCCACTCGGGAGCTGGTGGTTCAGAATCAGATGGTGCTCGAGCGCATGGGCAAGTTCACAGGTGGGACTGGGTGGTTTGGGCGCGGGAGGGCGAGGCGGCGGGGCGGCGGGCGGCCATCAACGGTTTGGCGCTGTTGCTGTGGCGGGGTGGGAGGTGGAGCGTGCGGTGTGTGGGGCGGCGACGGGGTGGTTGGTTGTTTTGGGGGGGACGGGGCTGGAGGGCAGGCCTCACGCGCGTGCCCCGGTCGCCGCCTCTTCGCTTTCCACCCTTCACCCTGCCCCACCCCTCCCCTGGAGCCAGACGTTGATTGGAGAAGCGGGGCCTGTGGAGGTTCCTCTGGCAAAAGTCTTCACCTTTTACATGTGCCCCTCCGCACTTCCCCCGCAGGCATCACCTGCACCAGCACCGCCGCCGCAGACTACGCCGTGTCGCGCTAGGACGCGCATCAGCGACCAGGTGGGTGGGG